CCTTCTCTCCCCTTGAACTTTCTGGCAGCTACAGCTGCTGCTCTTTGTGCTAAGCTCCATGCTGTCAGTGTGCATTTAAGCATGATCTGAGCATACCTCCTGGACCAGGCCTCTCAAGAGATTTAGACACATACCTATTTTGTGATTCCCAGGTGGGTTCATGCAGGAGACAGTCACAAAGACAGTCAGCTTAACCTAGATAACGCTCATTCTGGGCCTATAAAGAAGCAAAGTTTTAACAGCCTAGGAAACTTCACTGGAACTCACATGGTTCAACAGGACTCCTGAGGTTGCACTTGCATCTGGGATGTGGTGCACGTATTTTGCTAAATTGCACTTCCAGTATCCAAATCCTGAATGGAATTAGGTTCTCCCAACCACAGAAAATTTTGCTCTATACTTTAGTTAAAAAGAACTGAGAATGATGTGGGTCCTGTCCTAACATAACCAACAACAACAGCTTTGGTAAAGCACTAAATTAGCACTGCCTGTTGATACTACAAGGCTTTCCATCACGTAACTGAGGCATTCTGCCTGAAGTGGACAGGAAGGCAAGATTATAGATTCACCAACAATTAGATGACAGTTGCAGTACAGACTCCATTTCTCCTCTATGTTTATGAAACATTATTACTGATCAAGAACAAGCACACCGAGCATACTATACAAACACATCTATAGTTGAAATTATCATCATTTTACAATTTGAAGGGAGTATGTTTAAAACCATACCTGGAACAGATTTTCAAAATCTTCTCCCACCAATGCAATTCCCAATCGTTCATTTTTCCAGTGGAATTAAGTCAAGGATTTTGTGATCTTTTTCCGACAGGCCTGTAACTAAAAATCAAAGTTAGGCCAAAGTGGGAGGCCAAGGGGAGCTGGTCCAGCCAGCCAGATAATTAACAAAAAAAAAAGAATAAACCCATTTTTTATTCCTCAGTTTATTCCTTACTGCATACGAGGTACTGTCAGTAACCTCCTGCCTGGCCGCTCTCCCTTTGCTATTCTAAATGGATTTTCCAGAGAATTGTTGGGGAGTGCAAAATTTGCAACATTTTCAACCTATACTAATTTAAAGGTATCACTAGAAAAGCTATGGTAGATGAAAACCATCTGCTATGTGAGCCATGCGCTAAGAAGTGAACTTGTTTGATCCCAGATTTTAGCACAACCACGTTGAGTTAGAGAGCCACCTAACTGGTTTGCTATAAGCACTTCTAGAAGACATGCTATGTAACTTAATTAAAACATACGTACTGCACTAATAAAATATATAAAGATTTTAGGGAAGAAATGTATTTAAGTAAAAATGTAAGAGTTAATACATGGATTTAATACACCTCACACCAGTGACACTTACTATGCCAGAGAGATGCTGCTTTCAGAAAGATTTCATGGCAGCATTCTTCAAGTAGCATTAGGTAAGGAACAGCCCTTTGCAAGTGGCAGTTTACGTAGATATGCCTTCAGGGCACTGGTCCTACTTACGGAAATTATAAATCCTACAAAACAGAAAAAGACATTAGAATGGACGTGTCTGAATTTGGACTTGATAAAAATGTCCCAGCAATACCACACAATTCACGTAGAAACACCCCTCTCTGCAGGGTGGTGCTAGAAAATATAGTTTGAGCTAAAGGCACTCCTTCAGAACAATAGTTTGGGAGTGTGATCGTCAAATGATATGCTTGTCAAAACTGAATCAGAACAAAGGCCTGTCCATCCTATAGTCCAACACTTCTGGCCAAAAAGCAGAAGTCTAGGAAAAATGAGAAAGAGTGTATGTTTCAACACAGTACTTCCCAAGCCTCCAGCACCACGTAACTTTGGGAATATAGCAGCAGCAGATGAGGGGTGTTTAAAAGTGGGGATGAAGGAAATGATACTGTACAAAAGCAACATTATTCAAAAGTGGGGGGGGGGGGGGGGGAGGAAAAGAGATCTTACAGTTGGCAGACCTGTGGCATTTGCAAGTAAGGCCCAGAAAAGGATGGAGTTTGGAAATGCCACTCGGAGAAGGTGCATCCATACGTTCCTTGAAGAACAGAGAAGGGGATCAGAGTGGGGTGGGTGGAAGCGATGCACTGCGCATCCCCAGGGCCGAGTGGGGTAGCTGGAAGCGCGGGGGAGCAGTGATGCCGGCGGGGCGTGGAGCCGGGGTGGGAAGCCGGACTCGTGCTCCCAGCAGCAGGGTTGTTCACCAGCAGCCCCGGGAGCGGGGGAGACGTCACCCCGCTGCTGCTCCAGGGCTGCCCATGCAAGATGGGGAGCACCAGGGCCCCGCTCGCCAGCCGGTGGTGCACGGCAGAGGTGTCCCACGGGCAAATCCGCGCCAGCGGGGCCGAGGCCGGGGTGAGCCACCGCAGCGTTCGCACACGGCTGCACGCGACGGGCGCGTGGCCCGGGGCTTGTGGCTGCGGCCAGGGGGGAACATGGAGGGATGGAGGGCCTGCTGCTTGCATGGCACGGAGCTGAGCAGCGAAGCACAGGAAAGTCGAAATAAAATTTAAAAAAATAAAAATAAAAAAAATAAAAATAAAAAAAATCCCTTCCCCCAAGGCAGCTGCAGAGTGCGATGAAACCCCCCTGTAGGCACAATCTGGCCTGAGCATCTGGGCAAGGATGAGGTGGGTGCAAAGTGCATGGGGAGGAAATGTGTCAGCTGCAGCATCTGAGAGCAGCAGAGCAAACTCAGACGGGAAATGAGCTTGCAAAGTGCACCCAACAAGATGATCGCGGGGATAAGTTGCTTCTATGGAAACTGCAGCCCGATGAACCAAAAAACAGTTTGATGGCAAAGTTTTAGCAGGAGCCGGCTCATGCCTGGTTTCAGCTACATTCCCCACCCCCTAAAGACAAAAAAAAAAAAAAAAAAAAAAAAAAAAAAAGGAAAAAAAAGCTGCACAATGTGTTTCTTGTTATGGACCGAAAAAAAAAAAAAAAAAAAAAAAAAGGGGACACAGGTTTTTTCCTGTATGGGCTACATCATATTAAGCTGTAAGTTTAGTTCTGGACAAACAATCTCTTGTTGCATCTCTGGGATGGAGGTTAATGAATTCCCACAGATGATGTTGGCCAAACAGTGGTCGGCTTGTGACTTGATTTCCAGCATCATGATGTGAGGGGATCAGTATAGAAAAGCACTTTGAAGGGAAGAGGCTGCCTACAGCAGGATTGTTTCTACAAGCTAATTGTACTGAGTGCAGCTGCACAAAGCTGGATCAACAGTAATAGAAGGCGGCGCAGACTTCCTGACGCCAGCCCCGCAGAGCTCCCACCAACAGCCTGGCAATTCCAGATTGTTTTCCAGACCTTATCTCTCCCCCAAGTTTTTTTTTTTTCTTTCGCCTTTTTTTTTTTTTTTTTTTAATTTTGTGACCGGAACAAAAGTAACAGGAAAATCCTTTGTGAAAGTAGAAAATGCTGTTACAGATCGGTGCCTTTCGCAGAAGTTGTAACTAAATATTTTGCATGCATTACTCTCTCCCTCCCGCTCGAAAGAAAGAGAAAGAAAGAGAGAGAGAAAGAGAGAAAAGAAAGAGAGAGAAAAAAAAAAAAGAGAGAAAAGAGAGAAAAAGAAAGAAGAAAGAAAGAAAGAAAGAAAGAAAGAAAGAAAGAAAGAAAGAAAGAAAGAAAGAAAGAAAGAAAGAAAGAAAGAAAGAAAGAAAGAAAGAAAGAAAGAAAGAAAGAAAGAAAGAAAGAAAGAAAGAAAGAAAGAAAGAAAGAAAGAAAGAAAGAAAGAAAGAAAGAAAGAAAGAAAGAAAGAAAGACAGAAAGAAAGACAGAAAGAAAGAAAGAAAGAAAGAAAGAAAGAAAGAAGAAAGAAAGAAAGAAAGAAAGAAAGAAAGAAAGAAAGAAAGAAAGAAAGAAAGAAAGAAAGAAAGAAAGAAAGAAAGAAAGAAAGAAAGAAAGAAAGAAAGAAAGAAAGAAAGAAAAGAGAAAGAAAAGAGAAAGAAAGAAAAAGAAAAAGAAAGAAAAAGAAAGAAAAAAAAAAAGAAAAAGAAAGAAAAAAGCCAACGCCCCAAACTTCTAAAACTTCTTTCTTTGAATGAATTGGAAACGTGAGGCAAACAAAAGGGAGCGGGTAGCTAAAAGCAGCCGGGTTTAGCGAGATATTTCACCTGGTACGTTGAAAACTCCTGTATCAAAACATATTCGGACACCCCGCTTGGATAGGTTGGATGGTGTCAATGACTTGGAAACGGGCCAATTTTAACAGATTTTTTTTTTTTTTTCAGTCTGGTTTGATGGCTTAAATTCGTGGCAATTAAAACCATTTACATTATTACTAGATGTTTTAGCTGAATTTCATTAGAGGGCTGGGGCGGGGCGCGCGCGGGACCCCGCCGGCCCCTGAGGGCTTCGCCCGCCCCCCCGCGCCCGCGGTAGTTGCGCGCACCGGGAGCCGCGGCCCGAGGGGTCCCTGCCTGAGCGGGGGCTGCTCCGACGCGACCTCCAAGAGCGGGAGGACAGGCAACCTTTATAAAAACAGTGATTTTTCCTCACAGAAAGTATTTTGGGGCGGGGGGACGGGACGGGGACCGGACAGAAATTCCGCCCCCCCCCCCCCCGCACCGCAGCCGGGGCTGCCCGCCGCGTTCCTTTCCGCCCGCTCCGCGGTCCGTCCCCCCCCCCATTACATTCCACACCCCCCCCTCCGCGGCACGGCGGGGCGTCCGGCGGCGGCCCCCGCTGCAGGTGCGCCCGGGAGGGGGAAGCGGGGCCGGGCCGCCGCCTGCCGCCGCCGCGGGCGCAGCCCCGGTCGCCATGGCAGCCGCCTGAGCGGCGCCGCCGGGCCCGGGCGGCGCGGGCGGGGGGGGCGGCGGCGAGGGGCTGATGTCACGGGGCTGGCGCCGCGCAGTCCGGGCCGGCCCCGGGCGCGGGGCGGGGCGGGGCGCCCGGAGGTTTTGGAGGGGGGGGGGGGGGGGGGGGGCAGCACCCGCAGCCGCCACCGCGCACCCCGGCGCCGGGGGCCCCCCCACGGCGGGGCGGCCCGCACCCCCCACCCCCGGTGCGGGTTTGTGCCTCCCGGCGGCGGCAGCAGGACGGGGGGCGCGGAGGAGAAAGCGGCGCTTTGTGCGCGGCGGGTTCCTACCAGATGTTTGCAGCGGCGCTTTCGGGGGGGAGGCGGCGGGGGGGGGGGGGCTGTAAAAATCCCGGCTGAAAACAAGAAGCGGGCGCCGGTCCCCCCCCCTCCCCCCCCACCCTCCCAGCACCCGCCGCCGCACCGGGGGCCCGTCCCCGCCCTGAGGTGGTGGTGAAAAGCCCCCCCCCCCCCCCCCCCCCCCCCCCCCCCCCCCCCGAGGTCGCAGCAGCGGTGGTTTCGGTGAGTCCCGTCCCCTGTGCGTCCCCCCCCTCCCTGGGCAGCGTCCGGGCGACGTGTGCGAGAGGGCAGGGAGCCCCGGGAGCGGGCGGGCCGGTGCCCAGGCCGCCGGGGGGAGGGAGCGGCACCGGCGGCACGAAACGCTCCGGGAAAGTCGCTGCGGCCGCTCAGGCCGGGGACGCGGGGCTCGCCCCGCCGCCCCTGCGGAAAGCGCTCACGGCAGCCCTCGGATGACACAGACATTAACCGGGTTAGCTTCCCTCCGCACAGCTTCGCTCGCTGTATTTTTTTTTTTTAAAAAAAAAAAAAAAAATCAGCGTGCTGAGCCCTTACTACGGAAAACCGAAACCTTTTGCAGAGGGGTGCTCTGCAGAGCGCGGGCGGGCAGCACTGTGACAGTGCTGCGCCGTCCCAGAATGACAACGGTGGGAGAAGCATGAACATGCTTGTTTACGTTAGCTATTATCATACCAAAAAGAGTGTCAAAATTTCCTCCACCGGTGCGTTCATGAGGCGGAGGCATGAGCGCGTTGAAAGGCTCAAACCTATGGCCATAGATACGCTTGAAATTGAGATTTTAGTGATGTAAAGGATTGAAGATCCTCTAAGTGGTGATTTTAATCGAGTCGTTAATTGACAGGGTGTTTCTTTATTATTATTTACCCTCTTTAACGGCACTTGAACAATGTATTTGTCTTCCTATCAGACTGAACGTCGAGATTCACTTTCACCCTTCCAATTTCCCAACGCGTTGAATTGTGTTCCTGTCAGCCTCGGCACCGCCTCCAGTCCACCCCCAGAGAAAAGCCCCGGGGCCAACACCCTGCTGTGACAGTCACCAAAATGTCCTGCTAGGGAAAAGCCAACCGCCGCCTCAGGAACGCCACGTTAATTGGAAAAAATATTGATCCAGCTCTCCCCAGCTTCGTCTCCAAGTGTCCGTAACGTTCCTACCCCACAGCCCCAACTCCTTGAGTGTAACTATGCAACAACAGCGCAGATAAATCCAATATTTGTCTGCTTTTAATAGTTATGACTGACAGCACAACCTGCCCTGGTGTTAGGGACAGATGCCGTTACTACGTTTCTGTTTGGAATGAACACTAACGTACTTCAAGCATCCGGGTGGTTATTACAGAATTGCTGCGTTTTGTGTGGAATTTATTAATTGTTTATACATGTCCATGCTTCTGTAAGTTTAACTTTCCTCAGGTAGTGTGTGAAAAGATGGGTGGAAGCTATGTCGGTATGTTATACAGCCGCTAGTGTAAGCAAAACAGAGAAAATACAATGGACCAAACTTTAAAAAAAAAAAGTCTCCAACTAAACAAAAAAACCCAACTTCTTCCTCTGGAATGTTTCTGGAAGATGTTTCATTGGCTGCAACCAAAAGCTGCAAAAAGTACAGCGTGTAGTAAGTATTTGCATTTGTCACCAGAGACAATCTATGCATAATTAATGACAGCACTGTGTCACGAGCACGGATAGGGTGCAGATGAGCAGCCTTTCAAGGGCAATACATGTAAATGCACTTCCAATATGCACATTTGCTTAATGATCTCCAATTAATTGCACCGTCTAGAGCAGCCCCGTCCTCCCGAGGCGGGGAAGGAGCAGTGACGCCCCGCTCTGAGGGCTTTCGGCGCCCCGTTCCCACCGGGGCAGAAAGTTGCAGCCGGTTTTATCGGCTTTATTCATCTTTCCGCCTGACGCTGACACCCGCGCTCCGCCGCTGACCCCACCGTTTTAAATCGCTACGTGCACAACCCGCTCGGCGCTGTAAAGCCCCGGGCGCTTTTTTTTTTTGTGTGTGTGTGTGTGTGTGTGTGTGTGTGTGTGTAAGCCCAGTCGGGGAATCGGGGGGAGGGGGATGTGCACCCTGAGGGTGCCCGGGGGGAAAACTGGGGGACGGGCGGGCGCGCGCGGCCCCTCGCTATTTACTCCCTCAGCTGTGCGGCGCGGCCACGCCCCCTCGCGCGATTGGCTCAGCGGGCGGAAGGCCCGCGCGGCCCCCGCGCTGCCCGCCCCCCACCAGTGAGGGGGGCGCCCCGGGGTGATGGACGTGCCGGCGGCCGCCAATGGCAGCGAGCGCGGGCTGGGCTCGGCGGCGGCGGTATAAAAAGGGGCCGCGCAACCCCGCGCCTCAGTGCGAGCTGCGGCAGTGATCAGAGGGGGAGCGCAGCGCTAGCGCACCGCAGGCTGTCCGTCTGTCCCTCCGTCCGCGGGAACCGCGCTCTCCGCCCGCCTTCCAGCATGAAAGCCTTTAGCCCGGTGCGGTCCGTCAGGAAAAACGGCCTCTCGGAGCACAACCTGGGCATCTCCCGGAGCAAAACCCCCGTGGATGACCCCATGAGCCTGCTGTACAACATGAACGACTGCTACTCCAAGCTGAAGGAGCTGGTGCCCAGCATCCCGCAGAACAAGAAAGTGAGCAAGATGGAAATCTTGCAGCACGTTATCGATTACATCCTGGACCTGCAGATCGCCTTGGACTCGCACCCCAGCATCGTCAGCCTCCACCACCAGAGACCCGGGCAAAACCCTTCCTCCAGAACTCCTCTGACCACCCTCAACACAGACATCAGCATCCTCTCGCTACAGGTAAGTGCCTTCGCCCCGAGCCCCCCCCGGCTCTCCGCCGACGGAGGGAGGGGAGTTTAAGCCGTTATTGGGCAGAGGACTTGAAGGCGGTGGTCGCTGAGGGAGCAGCGGGAGGTGCCACGGCCGCCTCCCCCGCGGGCGGGTCCGCAGCCCGGCGCGCCGCGGGTGAAGCGCTCCGTGACCCGGGACAGCTTTCCCCGAGGGCTCCGGCGCCTCACCCTTACCCCCCTTGTGCTGTTCTCTCCTCGCAGGCGTCCGAGTTCCCCTCAGAGCTCATGTCAAGCGACAGCAAAGCACTTTGTGGCTGAATCAAACGGTGAGTGCAGCGGGTCTTACTCCTAAACATCAGATAAAAAGTGCCTCCCTGGGGAGCGGGCGGCGTGATGGCCATCTCTAAAAATCGGTTCTAAAAGTTGGCTAGGAGATGCCTTTGTAATCAGTAAGAAAGTAGACTAGCAACTGACTCCTGGAGTCCAAAGTATATTTTGTTGCTAAGGTTCATTAAGCAGTACAGGCTGCTCTGATACTCCTTGCTGCTTAATGCAAATTCTCTCGTTATCTGTTCTTGGAGTCTTAACTTCCTGGGCCAAAGTGACTGATAAAGTTGGGAATCTTGGCACAATTCCTTAAATTCTGTGATGTGGGATTGTCTTTGCTATCAGTTAAATAAATGACTGCTTTTAATCAAATAATTGCTGTAAGAGGCAGACTGGCGCCTCTGAGCATTGCGTTTACAGAGATCTAAATAGAGATTGGACTGAGAATCCTCTTTCTACCCCTTTCCCTTGAGTGTATGTTATTTTAATGTTCAATTTGCGCTCTTGAGAGCGAGTGTGTGAGCGTGTATGTGTTGCATCTGGACGCCAGGGTTTGCCCAATCTCTGAGTGTTTGGTTAAATGTTCAAACTGTGGCTTCCTCTCTGGCGCCAGTCTGTCCGGATCTCTGCCCTGTTAGCATTCTCCTAAATATGTCTCTTTTCAATCTCTTGCAGGTGTTCCACTGATGAAATTTTTTTTTTTTGCACAAGAAAATGTCTACAGGATTTTTTTTTTTTTGAGGTGCTGAACTTATTTTTCAGCTGTATCTGGAGGGGAAAATCCACATCTAACTGAAAGGACCTTTTAAAATTAATAAAGAAGAAAAAAAAAACCCAAGATTGATCTTTATCCCCACCCCGTTCTTCAACGTGGACTGAACCTAGTTATTTATGAAGAGACTCTTAAATAACCCTTTCCCTAGTTGGAAGGCTTCCTTTATATACTATTCCCAACGTGGGGAGCGAAACAAAAATCTCACAAGGAATTGCCCATTTTAAAGCAGACTTTGCCTTTTTTTTCCAAAGGTGGAGCGTGAGTACCAGAAGGATCCAGTGTTCAGTTTTTTAGGAAAGTCTGTGGTCAGAAATTACCTTTTTGACACAAACCTAGGACTGAATGCTGTGTATATATTTATATATAAATATATATATATGAGTGAAACCTTGTGAACTCTTTAATTAGAGTTTTCTTGTATAGTGGCAGAAATTTACGTTTCTGCAAAAAGTGTAATGATGTACTTAATCATGCTAAACTTTTTATAAAAGTTTAGTTGTAAACTTAACCCTTTTTATACAAAATAAATCAAGTGTGTTTATTGAACTGATTGCTTGCTTTGTTCTTTGGGGACCAACTGTTTGCTGGCTTTGTGTTGTGTTTCTGTTTTGTTTTGTGTTTTTTTTTTTTTTTTTTTTTTAATACTTATACATTCTGTTATGACTTTACCAAGTAAAAATTCAAATATGTAGAGAATATAAAGAATAAAATTACCTGAAGTGAATAATAATGCTTGTAACTCGGAAAATCTTATTTGAGTGTATATTCTAAACTTCAAGTGATCTGCCTGTAAACAGTGTGAAAGAAACTTGAAAAGGAATTTATTACAGAGGGGATGCTATTGGCAGTGTTTGGAAACCTACAGAAGCAGTTTAAGCCTCAGACATTCCCATGGAGTTTTGCACCTTTTTTTTTTCCTCCCATCCCTATGGATGAGTCAGTTCAGTAGTATTGGCCCAGTGGATCTGTTAATTTGTGTTTCAGAATAATCACTCGGAATTAAGGGTTGTGGGTGGGTGTGTGTTAGTGCCCCAACTACTACATTTCTCTAAAAAGACTTTGAATGTGAGAGTTGGTGATGCGTTAACATGGGATCTAGAATGATGAAGTGACTGTTGCCTTTCCACACTGGAATTTTTGTGCTTCCATGCAATATTTCAATGAAATGGGGTTTCTAATCAGTTGCAGCAGATTCTCTGTATGACTAAGATACTGAGAATTGAGCTAAATCGCTCTTGTGTTACTGATTAAACTTTGGCTGCTCCTAAAGGGACTCTTTCTCCATAAGAATTAAATTAAGTTTGAAATAGGAATCTAAATTCCTGAAAGCCAGTAACAGTTTGTTTCTTCTTTTGCTCTCAGAAGCTATGCACTATCCCTTATTTATTCAAGGGACACTTACTCTGCTCTCTGGATCCGCTGTAACTACCACGGCTCATTAGCTCTGTTCAGTTGTCATAAGACAGTGCATGTGGGAACTGTGTCTTGTCAGATGACGTTCCAATGTAAGCTCACTGATAAACTTGCCTGAAATGGCAAGTTCTGAGTCCTACATCTGAGCCGAAGAGAATCACTTGCCCTAGGAACGAAGGAAAACTTCCCTATGTGTAGGGTAAGTACAGCACCCTGGCTCTGGCCCTGAGGGAGCACCTTCAGGGTTTCTGGGGACTCTCGGAGCGAAAGGCTGGAGCCTCACCTGGGCCCACTAACACCCTCAGCCCCAAACAGGTCGGGGAGGGGGGGCTCTGGGAGGGGGGCAGAAGCTGCCTTGCCTTGCCCTTGACACCAAATCCACGCACGCAGGGCTCTGGTCTCTTAACACAGAAGCTGCCCCAGCAGAAGTGCCCTCAGAGGACCGGTGCCATCAGAGGGCAAGCAGGGTGAGCAAAAGCTGGGACGGGGCTGACCTGCGGCTTCTCCCCGTGCCCCCCAGCCCTCCGGAGAGGGGAGGGAAATCTCTCCAAGCAGCACATGCCGGCTGTGCCTCCCGTGGCCAAAGCTCGCTACTGTCTCAGCACCCAGAGCCCAGGGCTCCTTCTGACTTCGCGCAATCAACGTTTAACCCTGACAGCCCAGCAGTAAAATATTTCATCGTCGCAAATCAGCACGCCTCAGTCAATACTCCTCACCGTGTATATCTTACCTGACTCTCAACACTAGCAGATTCGGGGGGTTTAAGAACAATATTGAGATCTTCGTCATTCCAAACCAGTAACCATCGAGCATAATTGCCACCCCACTTCTACCTCAACACTAACTTTTCACCCCATTGTTCAGGTTAGGGTGAGACCACAGTAAGCGTCACTTTAAACCCATAGCTCGGTTTATGAAGTTAAAGAGCTGCACCGGTCAGCTATTGTAACTGTTTTAAAATCAATTCCTTCAGAAACTAAAGCATTGGCACTTTGGTATTTTTAAGCTGCAGGATGATTAACACACTTGTAGAATGAAACCAATTTCCTTATCGTGCATAGCCAAAAGAGAAATTCACAATTTACAAGGCGTGGGGAGCTGATCAGGAAAACAAACAAACATGTTTCAAAAAATGTAAATTAAGAGAGAAAAAATTCTTTCCTCTTTCAGGATTAACTAATTCATTGTCTCAACAATGCATTCCTATGGTCAGAACTAGGGGCTTAAGCTAGGTGCTCTACTTAAAGATTCACCCTTTGGTTTTGTTCTTAAGATTTTGACATTCAAGGAGAAGCAGCAAGGACAAAGCTGGGTGCCCAAAGCTTTAACATTAATTCTTAAAGTTTCCTTGCAGATGTGGGATTTCTTTATTCTATAGCACTGTCACTGTCTCTCCAGAATACATTAGAAAAATCTGTGAATTTTTCAGCATTTTCCCTGGCCCATTTACCCTGGTTCTGAACACAGTTGTCGGTAACTGACTTGCTGAACACAGTAGATCGAGGGGACCTGTATTCAACTACATGATAGCAAAAGAGTTTTGGCAGCAATCCTACTTAAACAGTGTAAAATCTTTTTGAGTAGGCCATGCATGAAAGTTGCAAATGCACCTACAGACCCTTCCCCATGGCGGGGGGAGGGGAAGGAGGGGGAAAATAAAAATAGAAAAGGATCCAACAAGAGGTTGAGGAGGACTCTCCCCTCTAGAAGAGAGGTTTCCAGACCTGGCTTTGCTTGCGTATCGCCCTTAACAACGGGCAGAGCAGCCCGAGCCACAAACGTGCACTGATATGTCTCATTTGGATTTTCAGGGAGCATCTTTGTATTACAAAGCACGTAACGTGCTGTTGGTGACAGGTATTACAGCCCTCCAGAAATCAGCCGTGTCACACACACGGGTGGCAGCAGTGAGTCTCTCCAGTCCGTCACTGCTAAGGGAACCGGCCGGCGTTTCTTTACTCTCCGCTGGGAAAACAGCGTTGTACCTATTGCACCCACAATATTCCTAAGCCATTCCAGAACCAGGGCCAGTATTCTGACCAAAGCAGGCCCGGGACCGGGCGGTGAGGGGCTGGCGTGTGCGCCGGCGGAGTCCCCGGGCGGTGCGTGGAGGCCCACTGCCACCCGCCGGCGTGGGCGCAGAAGGCAGCAGCGGCGCTCGCCTCGCCCCCGTCCCCGAGTGGCGCCGGGTCTGCCGCGGGTGGTTTCAAATCACATTTTAGAGCTGCACCTGGGAAATGGGGTTTTAGCTAGTTCAGCTCTGCTAGCCGGCAATTTCACTCCTAAGAGGTAAAGCGGTTGGTAAAAATCTGAACAAGAAGCTGCACCGAAGTAACAAAGCTGTTGCTTGTACTGTTACGGGGAAAATGCCACTTGGTTTGCACTAGTTTATATTTAACTCTGGAAAGGAAAACAAATTCTCTAAACAATCCTGTATGCATTAAGGTTTCTCCTACACAACAGTTTGCCGCCTGGATCAATGAATGCAATGTGGAAAAGATATAAACTGATCTACTAATGAGATTTATCATATTTGTGAGTAAGCATCTCTTCCTGTTTACCGCTGTCCTTGCTTACTTACACGCAGCAAGAAGTAATCTGCATCGCTTTTGGTGGAAGCTGTAAGGAAAAGAGATAACAGGACACAACTATCATGTGACAAAAGACTGAGTAAACTACATAAACACCGCTACTGAATTTTATTCAGAGAAAGATTTTCACAAATGTACTCTTTACAACTACTGTTTTGCAAAAGGATCAGTATTTTCTGATTCTACAAAGAAATGAAAATGTTTAATCTTTGAAATCCAATTTGGTTCACTCACATTACCATTTCCCTCTCCAGAACTGCCACCTAAGTTGTTGTAATTCTAAAGTGCAAGAGCCAAATGCAAACACTATTTCAATAAAACAAAGTTTATATTGCACAGCGATAGTCCTTGGTTGTGTGAGCCACTTGCGAAAGTAAATCAAAGGAGGCAACAAAAGAGGAAACAAACAAATGCAATTACTTTTGGAGTCAATCATAGTAACTGAGAGGAATTCATATTTCAGTTGGTTGCTTACCTTGAAAAAACATTAAAAATGAGAGGACATAGGGCAAAGACTGTAAATGGGACAAACTGAGAAAAATGAATTGCACAGAAAATGCTGCAGTGGACTTACTGCTGCCAGCTGCCCTAGAAGACAACCCTTTACTTGATGAATGAATAGCTAATACAACGTTATCTGAAGTTACAGGACCTATCCAGATTTGAAACAATTAAACTAACTACATTACGTGCCAAAAAGAATACGTCGTTATAATTTCCGGTAAATATCCCCACAAATTACACCATGTCTGTGGCGAACAGTTTTATGAATAGATCAGGTATTTCTACTTAAAACTAAGAGCTTGAGCCAGCTCTTAAGTTTTACTACTGATGGCAGAACTTCAAAAGCTCACACAAAGCTCTTTTTTTTATTATTAAAAAAAAAAAAAAAAACCCAACCCAAACTGGACTGTAAATCTGCTGAATGTCTCTTTCATTTGGAAGAGAACAAATTATTTTGCTACTTACCGTCTCGCATCTGAGCAGACACAGGCCCAGCAGCGCGGCCTCGCGGCAGCCCACCTCATGCAGCCCTCGCCGACAGCGCGGCGGCCGAGGCCTAGGGGAAAGCGTCAGGCCAGCGTCAGGTGGTGCCTCCTCCGTGTACTCCCGGCATCTCGTGTTCTCTGAGAACAGCCTCCCTGATTATTTTTGGCACGTAGATTCACTTTGTTGTACTGTTTGTCAATATAGAACTTGAATATCCTACCTGATCTATCCTGGCATTTTTTTCTCCCCCTGACATGTAGTGCTCTGAAGGGAGACAGAGGGCAAGGAGGGGAGGACAGAGATAATGTAAGACTAAGTATCTCTGGCATATTAGGACAAGATTAAAGCAGCGGGTCTTGCCTTAAAAAAGCAATGAGGTTGAAACTTGAGTTGTCAGTCTTGTACAAGTTTCTTTCACCTGGAGCAGAGAGCACAGCCTCCTGCCCAGACCGACCATCTCACTCAAGCAGAAAGTTTCTTATGCTCCACAGAACTGAGTTGGTTTTGCTACGTCTAACACCAGCACCTCAGGGAAATGCACTGCACTAGACAACCTCTGGAAGAGTCCGTCAGCCAGATTTTCTGTAACCCTCATTCACAGGCTCTATGTGATCTCTTAGAATTTTGTGCAGTACTTGAAGAGAAGGAATGTTGATTACAGCCTATTGGAAACCAATGCAGACAGCAGAGAATACAGGAGAGTTTGTGCTCACAACAGATGCTGGTGCTGAGGCTT